CAGTTTTCAATATTGTGCCCAGGGGCTCCTTGATGAAAAGCACAAGTCTGATCAGCTTTATAATACAATGGCAATGTTGGAAGTATAACAGGGGGAGACCTAGTCTGCACCAGGTTCTTTTGTATCAAAGTCGGCAACAACTTTGTATAACTCATCGGAATAGGATCAAAAGCTTCTCTTTTCTAACATTGTCCTTGATCACCCTGATGAGGTGTCTTCTGATACACAACAGTAGTAGAAGCTACATTCACAACCGGAGTTATTGAAGCAACATGTTGTTGATGCTGATGACGTCTTCTCAGAGGTCTAATCCTTCTTTCTTAAACAACAACATTTGTTTCTCCCTCTTTCTTTCTAGAAAACCCATATGATGGCTTCTTTGTACCACTAGAACCTTCATCTTTTAATAATCCTCCTTTCTTAACGGCTTCCTCTAGACGGACACGCAAACTTACCATCTCAGTGAAATCACTTGGTGCACTTGCAACCATTCTTTCATAGTATCATAAACCAAGGGTTTTCAGGAAAACCTTAGTCATTTCTTGCTCTCCAATCGGAGGTATCACTTGGGAAGCAACCTCACGCTAATAGTGCATATACTCCTTAAATGATTCCTTATCTTTCTGGGTCATTTCTCTCTATTGGTCATCATCAGGTTCCATAAACATGTCGTACTTATACTTCTTCACAAACTATCCTGGAAGTGCCAATCCCATATTACCATTTTAAGGTAGCGCCAATCAAACTATCTTAGAAAAATGAATAAGCAGGCGTTGATCATCAGTATGAGTGGACATTCTTCTGATATACATCATCAGGTGGTCACGGGGAAAGAGTTGCCCTTGTACTTCTCAAATTCTGGTACTTTAAACTTTGCTGGAACTTTCACATTAGGAACTAAGCAGTGGTCACTGACATTATGTCTGAATAACTCTTTCCCTCAGAGGGCCTTCACCTCTTTTAGAATTTCATTGAATTGATCTTGAAAGTCATCCATTCTGTCATAGAAGCCCAAACATTCACTTGGTGGAGGAACAACATTACAAACCTCATTAATAACATGAACGACATTCACCACAGGAGGTGCAGCATGATAAATCTCATTATTAGCAACAGGAGTAGCGTGCACCACAGGAAGGGCAGAAATTACAATTGGCTGAACATGCTGAGCAACTTGAACAGTAGGGTTATATCCTTCTAGCATGTAACCTTTAGGATTTTGTATATATTGATTCTAATTCAAATTGGAAAGGACTTTTTTTTCTCATTTTTCACAAAGCACACTCAAGAACAAAGAACTTTCTCAAGTGCAAGTCAAGAACTCAAGAGCTCTCCTCTCTCTTCCTCTCTCGTCGGCCACCCTTTCTCTTGCTGACCACCGCACGACTTTGCTTCTGACTGGCCTCCGCCCATCCAGCTCGTCCGACCGCACACGGCATCCCCTTTGTTCCGAGCTCGCACGATACTCTCTTTGGAAACCGATTTTGTCCTCTGATCTCCTCCTCTGTGTCTGAGCTTGCTTCTGACCGAATCTTTCTTTTGATCTCCTCTTCGCATTGATTTCGGTAATTTCTTGAGATTTTGCTTGATTTAAGTGATTCTTGATTTAATTTATTCTTGAATTAAGTGCTTATTTGATTTTGCATTATTTGAATTCTTGAATTTTTGGAGATTAATTGATTCTTGAATTTTGATTATGGACAATTATGGAATCATACGAGCATTTGTTTAATTGCTTCAATCTCATGAATATCGATGCTTGTTATTGATTATTTGATTTGACGCGTCGAAGCTTGATTATGATTCAATAATTTTTAATAATTGTGGAATTTCATGAGTAGGTGATTGTTTTCGAGTTGATTTGTTGATATCAACGCGTTGATAATTTTTGTTTTGATGTTTGAAACCATTGTACCGGTAGCAATTTAATGTTTGCAATTTATTTGTGAATTTCGAGCAATGTTCCATGTATCGATGTTCGATGTTTTTGCACGTTAAATGTTAAATTCCGATCGATTTTTGGTGGACATCTATACATGGATCAAGGCTGCCCGGAATTATAAAATGTTTGCAAATGGTGTTTTAATTCTTGGTTCATGCATGTTTGGCTTTCACTTGGTGATTATTGGCTATTGATGTCAAGTTTTATCGATTTTAATTCGACCTTTCGAACAATTTCTTGAGTTAAATCAATGTTCTCCGAATTTTGAAAATGCACATGGAATGTGATTTAATTTGTGCTTGGTGCATGAGTGGATTTAATTGGATGAATTTTTAATGTCGATGTCGAGTTTAGTTAATTTTAACTTGATATTTTGAGTCTTTCATGAGATAAAAAGTTGCTGCCCGGAACTTTGTTTTATGGTTGTGATACTTGTTTGGAAGTTGTGTCTTCATGACTTAATATTAATTTGAGTTGTATTGTGAATGCTTAACTTCGATTATCGTTTCTTGTTATTACTAACTCATCTTGTGAATTTGTGCAAGCTTTCGAAGGTGTCTCGGTACATGAGACTTGTGATACACTTTTGTTTTGTCAAGACTTGTTTCATATGCAGGATTATTTGTTCGATATTCAGATATCAATTGTGATTTATTTTCACATCGATGATTCTTTGAAACTTATTCTAAGTATTCGATTTCTAACTTCTTTTCTTTGATTGGTGAAGCTTCACAAAGATCTCCGGGTTTCTTTTGTTTTGATACGCTTTGCTATGGATATTTTGTTCGTTTGGTATTTTTCTGATGTTATTTTAATTATGTATTGTCTTTTAAATTCCTTGCCATGAGAAGTAGGAATAGAGATGCATGTCTAGAAAGACCTGCCCCATAGGCATTGAGAACTTGTTTGTTTACATTCTTGTTGATAAAATACCTCAAAAAGGGGAAATTTTGTATGTTTTCAAAAGACCTCAAAAATGGGAAAGTATGTGTGTTTGTTTAAAGTCCTAAAAGAAGGAAATTTTGTCGAAGTCCTCAAAGAAGGTAATTCCCCTCCCCTTTTACTTTGTGCTTGCAATCGAGTCAATAAAAAGTGGAACAATGGGGCTCACAACCAGCCCCCACACATTCAAGTCCCTTGGTCATTCTTAGCTCACGTTGTACATTGATGCTTTGAATTGTTCGTCTCCTGTCCTTGAGTAAAATAAAAGGGGAAAGGGTTCACAATCAACCCTCATACCTTGTGTTGCGAGTGGTTTTAAAATCAGAGTCGCCACTACTAGATTTTATCCTAAGGAAGGGAATCTAATAGAAAACCCTAATTTTGTAAACAAAGATTCTAAGTTTCAGACTTCTTTAGACGAAAGGAATGTGTTACGCCACTTTCATCTACCTTATTCGTAAGGATACTAGGTTTAGGTTTAATGGGTTTTAATTTTTTATTAGGGGAAAAAGGGTTTGTCTTTTAATTAGGGGGAAAGGGGTTTTATTTTAATAGGGGAAAAGGGGTTTTAAGCCACGATTTTAGTCGTATGCCTACGTATCCTCTTATGAGGAATCAGAGTCCCAATTTGTAGTTCATAGTGTTTGGTTGGTGTTTTTATGGATTGCACAGAATTGCTTTTAAATTTATCCTTGAACCTTGTCTGGGTTGAAAATTGAGTGAGCGTAGACGCAACTCGCAGTTTGATTCGAAGACAATGCTATTTAATCCTTTTTCGAAAATGATCTTGAAGTTTTTGTTATGTTAGTAGAAAAAAGTTTGATTGTTGGTTAGCTGTTTTGATATTTATTTTAATTAAGACGTGGAGCGGGGGAGTCTGATATAGTCTCCTCCTCACGTGTTTATTATCACGTGGCCAGATATTGACCATGTGTTGCTTGTCATGAAGGATGCAGAGGAAGTCTGATATAGTCTTCCTCATGACGTGGCCAGATATTGACCACGTGATACTCGCGGATAGTGTATTTGATAAATTGCGCGGGTTTAAATGTCTTCTCGAACTATTTGAATTAAATATTAACAAAAAGGTGTTCGGATTATACGTATTTTTTCTGGTTTTTTGGGAGATTTTGGTTGTTTTGTGGTAGTTTTGATGATGTTTGAAATGGTGAACAGTTTGGTTAGCTTGTTATAGCCTGGTCGTTTGTTGTTTATAGTTTTGTTGCAGTTTGGACAAGCTTTGTGGTGTTTTGTTTGACAGGTTTTTGAGTTGCTGGTTTGGCAGTTTTGTATTGCAGTTTGGGCAAACTTGTGGTTTGAGCAAGGCTTGTGGTTTGAGCAGTTTGGTTGTTGTTTAGTTTGTGGTTTTTGGTGTTTTTTTGCTATGTTGATATACAATTTGGAGGGTTTTATGATCTGTTTAGAGACTTCCTGTAGTTTGTGCAGGTTTTTGAGACTTTGTAGTTTTTATTAACAGGTTGGGTGATTTGAGCAAGCTTGTAAGGTGATATTATTCTAAAAAATCAAAAAGTGTATTTTTTTTTGGTGTTTTATATTTATAACTTAGAAAAATAACTAAGTTTAAACTAGCTTAAATTAATCCAAAATAAATTGTAAATTCAATAGAGAAAACTAAAGTTAAACCCAATAATTTAAAAGAATTTACAAAAGAAATTAAAATAAAGGCTTGTTGGCCCAAGGCCCAAGTAGTGTGTCTAAAGCCCTAATTCATAACAATTAATGAATGAAAGAAAGAAAAAAAGAGGCTAAAGCATGTAAATGGGACGCCGCTCTCACTGTTTCGACTTGCAGAGAAGTTAAAGCCAATTTTGACTTTTCAAACGACATAACCATCTAATGCTAAGTTAACACGTTACACATAATAAAAATAAAATAAAAAATATAAATATACTTATATACTACTAGTACCAGTATTTTCTAAAACAGTAAAACATGTTATCTTCCATCTCTCTTTCTTATATTTGTCCCCTTTCTTCTAAACATAACCAAAATCATCGTAACAATGTTAATTGAGTCAAAACAAAAAAAAAAAAACATTGTAGGTACCCGACCGTGAGAGTTGTCTGCGATTTGGAGGGCGGACTTGGATGCTGGATCAGAGGCGTCGAGCGGATTGTGGCTTGGGAGTGGCGCGGCGGAGCTCGTGGTTGTTGTTCGTCGGTGGTTCGGATGAAGAGGCTTTGACGGAGGGAGCAGCGGGAAGAACCGTCGGAGGATCCGGATCAGGTGCGGTCGTGGTTGAATCGTGACTGACTTGTGGTGATATCCATGTGAACGGGAGCGAAGAACACAACCTGAGGGAGTAGATCACGGTGTTGTTCGGCAAGGAGAGTTTGTGCCTTATGATGTTCTTCTTTTCCCCTTTTTTTCTGTAGTTTAAACAAAACAAACACAAATTATCAGACTTTATTTTGCAGGGAAATTTCTATTGAGGTTGCAGAGTGACGGATGTGCTGGTATTTTGAAGGCGGTAGCTGGGCTGTTGAAATCGCGGACTAGAAAGCTTCACAGTGGGTCGGGATGTAGCATTGGAGGACGGCTACGATCGGAGTTTGCCGGCGGTAGCCGCTGGAGAGAGTTATTCTTGGATCTTACTTCTTTCTTTTCCTGTGAAACAAAAATAAACTATACAAATTATTGAATTAATTTTGTTAGTTTATGCAGACTGTTAGGAATAATCTGGTTTTTAAACCTTGTTATGTATTATGGTTGAAACAAAGATAGAGGTGAGATCTGTAGAAGAAATTTGCAGGTCATAATAATATTTTGGTTAGAAACAAAACTGTCAATGGTTGAAATTAGTAAAGACTTGGATAATTCATGATGTTATTGATAAAAAAAACTAAGAGAATGCAAGAGCGAGGAAAATTGTTTAGAAAATTGAATTAGATGAGTATAAACATGATTGGAAAACGAATAAAATAAGACGGAAATAAATTATGCATTGATTTAAATTGTGGAGCTAGCTCCTTAAGGAAAAAAGCATGGCGTTAGAACTTCGGTGTGATAATATGTTATAGTTATACAATGGGTACATGTACCAAGCATTTATATATGAACAAAATAAACCAAAAAATAAAAAACAAAGGTTAATAGATAACCATTGGAAAATTTCTCATTATATGATTGTAAACAACTTGATAAAAAATTAAAAAAAGGAGGGGCTTCATATGAAATCTTCGGCCAATAATAAAATAAAAGTAACACCAATAATATTGAAAAGAAAATTTGAAAGGCGAAGTGTTTGTAAGTGAAAATTATGGATAAATTGTAGATGGTTGTGTGTTTGTCGAATATTAGGACAATGAGGATACCTATTTATTAGGGGTGTTCGCGGTTTGGTTTGGATCGATTTTAAGACAAAAAATCATCTGATTCAAAGATAAATTTACTTGCGGTTCGGTTTTAGATGATATATTAAAAAATCTAATTCGATTCGATTCAATTTTATGCGGTTTAATTTAGATCAATTTTTGAATATCAAAATTACATATTATATTTTTATTAATATTATAATAATACTAATAAATCATAGATTTTATATAATATATAACATATAGTATATTAAAAGTTAATATTATAAAATGAGAGTGGTTGATTATGATTGAAATAATAAGAATAAATAAATTATATCAAGCTAATAACTATCATTAAAAAAATTATTATCATCTAATAATAAATTCATGTAACATATCATACTAATAAAAAGTAAATAAGCATAAAAATATATGTATGCAGATTGGTTTGGTTCGGATCAGTTTTGAAAAATTGATCTGAAATCCGATACGAACCGATCGGTTTTCACAAAATAACATCCAAATATATCCAATAAATTTTGGTTTTTTGCGGTTTTCGATTTTTTGGATCGGTTTTCAGTTTTTTATTTGTATTTGAACACCCCTACTATTTATAGAGTGGAAATTAGGTTAAATCCCCCAAAAGAGAAACTATCCAATACCCAAAGCCCAAATTTATGGTATTTTGACTATTTTTTAAATAAAGTAAATATTTTAATAAAAAATAATATTTTTAAAATATAATAAATAAATAAATAAATGCGAAAATAATAATAAAAAAATATGATTTTTGTGTTTAGAAAATGAAAATAAAATTAATAACAATAAACAGCAAAAATATGTACTTCTGCTTCTTAGTCTTTCTCCCCTACCAACCGCACTATGTACTTATTCGAAAGTGGAAAAAAAAACAATTGAAAGTATATGACAGCGAAAAACTATTTTCTATTTTTACAAAAATATAAATAATTATTATATTTTAAAACAGACTTGAAAGAGAATTTTTATTAAAAAACCTCGAAATATTAATATAATTAAATCAAAAGAACACCCAAGTTCGAAAATAAATTTGGCGGTAGCACTAAGGCGGACATATTTGGAGTATGACACCTTGTCATCGCTTCAGTGATATCTTAGCTCACGTTTGTTAACTTTGATGCTTCGAGTTGTTACTCGACTTGTGATTAAGTTATTCTAATGAAAGAAGGGTCTTTTGACTCATCGACCTTTGTTTTCATGTACAGATAGCTCATGTTTGATGCTTGTTATCATCTTTTGTTTGTTTACTTCCTTGCACCTTTATATGTTCTTTTAGATTCACCTTTGCATGTTCCCTTAGGATCACTTGTTTCATTTTCGAATCAAGGTAGACATTAGGATTGTAATCCATGCATGCTAACTTAGTTAGAGATTCCCCTTTTGAATCCAAACTTTAAGACCACCATTGCATGATAACATTAGGATTGTTAGTCTCCCTTCGACTTTTTCATTCCCCTTTTGTATAATCAAAACAAAAATCTCTTTCTTAAGAAAACTCAAAACACTTAATAATTGAAGAAGTGAATCATATGCAATTGAGTCTTATGGGGTAGAGCGAATCGGTCCAGACTGAATCTTGCTCTTCTTTCACTTCTGAACTTTATTACAGTTTAAATTGCAAACTCTTTTGCAAATAAGCAGATAAGTAGTGAGTGTCCCTCCAGTGGGATCTATTTACTATCATTCCACTAAAAACACCAAACAATTCAAATCTTTTTGCCTTCGGGTTTTCCTCAGGCTTTTCTTTGAAAACCTTTTCAGGTAAGAACATGTTAATTCCTTTCTACTACAATGCGTGAGTCTCCAAAGGTCGAGCTATGGTAGAATGCGAAATTAGCATTATTCATAAAAAATACACAACAAACCAATATTTTTAAGGTGAACTACGAGTGCCTTGATCCCCATTACATGGACGGTGGCACGTATGCATAAAGGTTCGCAACTGAGGCAGACATGGCTAATAAAACCTTTTTCTTTGTATATACACTCTGCATTCATGCATGTTAGCTCGTAAGCTTTAGATATGAACAAACCCTTTGATTAGAACAACAAGAGTGAATCCCGTGGAACACCATGAACGTGAGGGGTGCTAATACATTCCCTTTTCTTAATCGACTCCCGTACCCGATCTCTCGGTCGTAAGATCAGGATTTCTCCCTTCTCAGGTTTTTTCTTCGATAATTTTATTTTTCCTTCTGTGGGATAAATAAATACTCGATGACGACTTCATTATTTTTCTCTCGATTATTTTCCCTGTTGCTTCAATCACATGTTGACAAAATTGATTTTTCATTGGTTGGAATTTGTAGACTTGCTGACCAAGATAGAGGTAGAAATTTTGAGCTTTTTATTTTAAGTAATTTTTTTTTGGTGTTTTAACCTAATTTTCCACTATATAAATAGTCTTCTATTTTTAGAATTTAGATCATCAACCATCATCAATAATCTCTTATAATTTCTCTACACACATTATCAACAAATTTTTTTCTTCACACACTTATTTTTCAAAACCTTTTCAAAATAATTTATAAGTTTTAGCAGATGATTTAAATATGAGGTCTTTCATTTTATTTTCAATTTTAATTCTAATTTATTTATTGATGAAATGATTGCCTATTTTTAAAACTTTAATTTCTTTCGACAATATCCACATAGACTGCCCTTTTCTCTTACAACAATTTCTAACATGCAAACCCTTATTTTTTACATTCTAAATCTTAGGGGTGTTCGCGGTTCGGTTTGGATCGGTTTTAAAGCAAAAACTCATCTGATCTAAAGATTAATTCACTTGCGGTTCGGTTCGGTTTTTGATGATATATTAAAAAAAATCCAATCCGATCTGATCCAATTTATGCGGTTTAATTTGGATCGGTTTTTGGATATCCAAATTACACATTATATTTTTATTAATATTATAAAATTACTAATAAATCATAGATTTGATATAATATATAACATATAGTATATTAAAAGTTAATATTACAAAATGAGAGTGATTGATTATGCTTGAAATAATAAAAATAAATAGATTATACCAAACTAATAAATATTATTAAAAAAATTATTATCATCTAATAATAAATTCACATAACATGTCATACTAATAAAAAGTAAATAAGTATAAAAATATATTTATGCGGTTCGGTTTGGTTTGGATAAGTTTTGAAAAATTCATCCGAAATCCAATCCGAACCGATTAGTTTTCATAAAATAACATCCAAACACATCCAATAACTTTCAGTTTTTTTTTTGTTTTCGGTTTTTTGGATCGATTTTCGATTTTTTATTTAGATTAGTTTGGATTTGAACACCCCTACTAAATCCTACACACATATTTTACATATTTTATTTTCAATTCTTGTGTTTGTACATATAACACACACTCTTTTTTCCTTTCACGTTTTATTAACAGTAACAAGTATCACCATTATATTTTTCATTTTATCAACATCATTTTACAGGGAATTTTCCACACCAATATTACATGTTTTATAAACCTGTACAAAACCACCCTTCTGAATCATAACCTACCACCATGTCCATATGCTCAAACCGTTAACAACAATTCTCCAACATACACCATGAACAAAACAAATTACAAAGGTTGTCAGAGATTCTGAATGCCGCACCGTTCCATAACCGTAGAATTTCGAGTGTCACTAAAGTCTAAACTCTAAACTATAAACCCTTTTGAATCATAACCTACCACCATCAGCCTCGAATCACACAGTTTACCGCCCAGAACCACACAAAGCCGACCAAGCTGCCGTCCACCTCCGACGACTTAAGCGATCCAGATCGCACCCTCACTTGCCACCGCAAACAACTACGATGCTGCAATCGGTTGCAATCAGCGCAACCGCGGGACCCGTACCACCACCTCCGCGCTCAGTCCTCCTTAACGACCACCGCCGTAGTTCTTCACTGATCCACACGAGTCTGCCTCCGATAGGTCGCCGACAACCGCCAGACCATGAAATCTACATCTTCCCTCTCCGACGAAGCCTTTCCTCTTCTACCTCTCCGTGCTACCATCAGGTATCATTTGGATTCCACTGTTTGATTTTGGTTTAATGAGAAAGATGAGTATTTTCTGTAAATCTGTGTTGCAATTTGATGTTTGAAAGATAAAATAAAAGGAAAGTGTGAAAAAATGGTGAATATAGAAAGAAGAACAAGACTCGATAAAGCAAAGAGAGAATATGGTCTTTTTATTTATTTATTTTTTTCTAATTGCTTTATTGCTGTTAACGATGGGTCACATATATTTATTTTTTATTTAATCCTATGTGCCACGTGTCGATACCTAAGTGAATGATTTTATTATTATTTGAAAACAAAAGATGAAAGAAGCATCAGTAAGGGTGGCGACGCCCCAAGTACTGATTATGAGCCCTTATTCCATTATTCTTTTTAGTTACTTATTTATTTAGGTTAGATCAATTAGGATTTTAAATTCTTTTGGGCCTTGCTCATTTCTTTCTACACTTTACTTATCTAGACACCTAATCTAATTTAGCACTCTTTAGTTTTTTTTTTCAATTTAAGTTATGTTTTAAATATTTAATTTATTTAATCAATAAAAAATACAAAAGAAATATTAATTATATTTCATTTAGTTTTAATTTATTAATTTAGTTTATTAAAGTAATTAGTTAATTAGAAAACTAAAAAAATACTAACTTGTTCATAATTCACATATAGATAAATTCAAACATTTGTTAATCAAGATAATTCTGATTTTTTAGCAAATAAAAGAATATACATCCTCAAATAATAATAGATTGATCGGCTTAATGTCTATTAGTTAATTATTCAAAATTGAAATAATTAAAATTCACCAATCAATCAAATCAATTTCTTCGCCTAGCGCGATTTAATTCTAATAAGGATCAACTTCTTATAAAAATCAATTTCTTCGCCTCACGCGAATTGATTTCGATAAAGATCAACTATTTATCAATCATTACAGCTGCCCAAGCAAAACAAGAAGCTCATTTTCAAGAGGAAGCTCCTAACCCATCCACATGTTAGGCCCTGCATAGAAAGATAGAAAGCAGAAATCAGTTAACAACTCAGCCCAACATCATATTAACAAACTGTTAACAAACTTCAAAAGAGTTTTCTAACTGTTTCTAACAAACTTCAACAGAAAATCCCAACTGTTTTAACAATATATAACAAAATTTTCTAAACTAATTTTTAACAACTGTCATAACTAACCTCTAACCATTCTATAACAAACTTCCAGCGGAAAAAAAATAACTAACAAATTTGTTCAATCCTTCTTAACCTCTTTTTTAACAGAACTGGTAGCAACCTGTAACAAACTCTAAACGGAACTCCCAACGAACCAATAACCGATCTGTAACTAACTGTTAACTAACTCCATAACCCCTAACTACCTCTACAAAAAAAAACTCGACAGAAAATCTATATAACAGAATTAGCAGATTGCAGGGGGAGGGGAGTCTCAGATCCACAATCATTTATTCACAAAGAAAAAAGGATGACAGAAGAAAAAAAGAAAGAAAAAAACAAACTCACCAAATTCTCTGCAATTTCAACCTTCTTCATCATCATTCCTCAACCTTCAAGTAGCATCACCATCACGATCTTTTCTGCAACAACCATAACGAATTCTTCGTCTCTCTCGGTAACAAACCTCTACAACGTCTTCAATTAACAACAAATCCTCAAGATCGCAACAAAATCATAGATCGCTAATAGCGAATCTGCACTTTCATCAACACATATAACATCACGATGTTGCAATGCAATTGAATAACACTGAGCACACAGAGATCCAAAATCACGAAAATGGAAGAAGAAATGGAAAAAGTAAATCGCAGAAGTGATAACTCAGAGGATTACCTTGTTTCATTGCTGATTTTCTGAGTTGAAAGAATACCGGACGCTCTCCAGTCGGTAAGATTTGCATCTCACGATTTCGTGTTTCCATTTCTTACTGGAGTTTGTTTTTGTTTCGAATCAAGGAGAAAGAGTGTGACAGAGGAGTTCAATATGGAGGTTTGAGAATCAGAGATGAAAACATCGTGGTGGACAGCCCCGCCGTGATGAGGTGTCAGAGAGAGTTTGTCTCAAAGCAAGATCAAAGACAGAAGGGAGACGATTAGCCGAGGTGGTGTGGAATAGTGAGAACGGTGGCGTTTCGTCGTAGGAAGGAAATCAGAGAAAAAAGGGAATGAACCGCGGTGCTGCAAAGGTATAAGCGAAATGAGATCAAAATCAAATGGGGACGGTAACGAGTCAAATGGCGGTAGCGAATGGTGGTTCGGAATTTGATGAATCTTACCACGGCGGCCGTTTTCAGAGGAAGAGAAGAAATGCTCTCGTGAAGCTAAAGCGTTATAACCCTAATCCTATTCGTTTTTTTTTAAAATTTAATTCATTCTTTTCTTTGGTTTTTTTATTTAATAAGTAAAATCTGAAACAAAAATCCTGAAAAGAAATCGTTTGGGTGTTTAATTCATAATGGACCAAACCGAATTTCACTAGGCCCATCACCACTTTTTTGGAAACTGAAGCTGGTTCAATAAAAATGGCTTATTGGGCTATTTCCTATGGGCCTAACACCCCTGCTACACTACACACCTAATCCAGATTTTAACACCCCCTGTTTTGGATTTAATTGTTTTTTTCCTCAGTATATTCTTCTCATAACTTTGATGATAAAAGAGACACAAAAATAGTAGAGATTCTTATTGATATTAGAAATTCTCTTTAGATGTTTAATTAGAGTTTTCTATTATTTTCATATTTGATGATCCTTTTCATTGTCATTTTTTAGCTAGGATTTTGTGATATTATACTGATGAAATCTCTCTGCAATTGGAATATTTGGGGATCAATTTTTGATTATTCATGCGGAGCAACTTCCGTATAGTTTTCCTATCACTAGCGTAGCTTTGAAGAGGCAACGGTCCATCTCCGTTCGGTATCATCGCAACCTCAATTTATCCTCATTTCTGCACTTTATCACATTTCTTTACCGCTTTCTAGAAACCATGAGAAGTAGGGGCTTTACCGCAAACCATACGCATGTTAACATTAGATAGACGTTTCCCTTTCATTCATCCTTGACTTAGGTCTAACAACGCATGATAAAATTAGGTTTAGAAATAGGCTAGCCTTCATGTGACTTTCTTTCCTCCTTTGCATATGCATTTAAAACAAAATTTCTTTTTTTTTTTACAAACTTCAAAAATACTAAAAATTTACTAACAAGAATCATGTCTTTGCTAAGTTTGGGAGATGATAAGCGGGTTTCTTCTTGACCTTATTGTTCTTCCATTCTAAAACTTGACATGATTCAAATCTCAAAGAATCATTGCATGAATGAGTAGAGAAATGATTAAAATCTCTCCCTTGAGATTAACTAGTTATTCTCTACAAGAAAAAAACACTAACAAACATAAAATTCTATTTGCCTTCGGGCCTTACTTTCAAACTCTTTTCAAAAGAGCATGTTAATTCACTTCTGTGCTGACGCGTAAATCTCTAAAGGTCGAGTTGCAGCAGAAGGCGAAATTAATATCGTTCGTCAAACACAAACAAATTCAAACTTTTTGTGCGCCCAGGCACATCTTATCAAAACCTTTTCAGAAAGAGCATGTTAATTCACTTCTGTGCTGACGCGTAAGTCTCCAAAGGTCGAGTTGCGGCAGAAGGCGAAATTAATAATGTTTAATGAAAAATACAAACAAACAAAAACATATAAGCCGAACTACGGCTGCTATGATTCCTTAAAAGGGATACGTAGGCATCGGGGTAGGGCCCGAACGAGCACAATTTCGTTTTCCCTACATTTCCCCCCCTTTCTTTTGCATGCATTCTCCCCTTAGCAGTAATAAACAATAAGTATAGATTAAACACACCCATAGGATATATAACAAGAGTGGATACCGTAGAGTACTACGGGCGTGTGGGGTGCTAATACCTTCCCCTCGCGTAACAGACTCCCTTACCCTTATCTCTCGATCGCAAGACCTTGATTTCACCCTTCTACGGTTTTCTCGATGTTTACCTTTCCCTTCCCGTGGGATAAAAGACGTTCGATGGCGACTTTATTGTTTGATGATTTTCAACCGGTTGTTTCAGCTGGCGACTTCACTGGGGACAGGTTGACCAAATTCCGGTCCATCCCGGAGTCGCTCCTAGCTCTTGCTTTCTTTTCTTTGGGTGTTTATTTTTACGCTTTCAGTCTACTCATTTGCACATGTTTATCTGAGCATAAGTTTGCATTGCATTTTATTGCTTTCTCTATTTGTTATCTATTATGCTGGATTATGGTTTTCCATGTTGGGTGGGGATGTTACTATTGAGGTAAAAGGCCCAGTACCCAGGCCAAAGTGCACTAGGACACTAGGAATAGAGTGGGGGCATGACGGCTATAGGAGGTGGTCCGATTAGTGCAATCGTGTCATATACCACGCTCGGATGAGGTTCAAATGAATTACTATCGGCACTCACGTCTGTGGGTAAGCCCATAGCACTTTCAGGCGGACCCGTGATTTTCGAGTTACAATTGCCTCCCCGCTCACGGGTGAAGACTAGGTCAGGGTAAGGCAATGGTAACTCAAAAATCACGGGTCCGCCTAAAAGTGCTATGGGCTTACCCACAGACGTGAGTGCCGATATTAATTCATTTGAACCTCATTCGAGCGTGGTATATGACACGACTGCACTAATCGGACCACGTCCTATAGCCGTCATGCCCCCACTCTATTCCTAGTGTCCTAGTGCACTTTAGCCTGGGTACTGGGCCTTTTACCTCAATAGTAACATCCCCACCCAACATGGAAAACCAGAATCCAGCATAATAGATAACAAATAGAGAAAGTAATAAAATGCAATGCAAACTTATGCTCAGATAAACATGTGCAAATGAGTAGACTGAAAGCGTAAAAATAAACACCCAAAGAAAAGAAAGGAAGAGCTAGGAGCGACTCCGGAATGGACCGGAATTTGGTCAACCTATCCCCAGTGAAGTCGCCAGCTGAAACAACCGGCTGAAAATCATCAAACAATGAAGTCGCCATCGAACGTCTTTTATCCCACGAGAAGGGAAAGGTAAACATCGAGAAAACCTGAGAAGGGTGAAATCAAGATCTTGCGATCGAGAGATAAGGGTAAGGGAGTCTGTTACGCAAGGGGAAGGTATTAGCACCCCACACGCCTGTAGTACTCTACGGTATCCACTCTTGTTATCTATCCTATGGGTGTGTGTAATCTATGCTTATTGTTTATTACTTCTAAGGGGAGAATGCATGCAAAAGAAAGGGGGAAAATGAAATTGTGCTCGTTCGGGCCCTACCCCGATGCATACGTATCCCTTTTAAGGAATCAGAGCAGCCGTAGTTCGGCTTATATGTTTTTGTTTGTTTGTATTTTTTATTGAACAGTATTAATTTCACCTTCTGCCGCAACTCGACATTTGGAGACTTACGCGTCAACACAAAATTGAATTAACATGCTCTTTCTGAAAAGGTTTTGAGAAGATGTGCCTGGGCGCACAAAAAGTTTGAATTTGTTTGTGTTTGACGAACGATATTAATTTCGCCTTCTGCCGCAACTCGACCTTTGGAGATTTACGCGTCAGCACAGAAGTGAATTAACATGCTCTTTTGAAAAGAGTTTGAAAGGAAGGCCCGAAGGCAAAACGAATTTTATGTTTCTTAGTGTTTTTTGCTTGTAGAGAATGACTAGTTAATCTCAAGGGAGAGATTTTAATCATTTCTCTACTCATTCATGCAATGATTCTTTGAGATTTGAACCATGCCAAGTTTTAGAATGGGAGAAGAATAAGGTCAAGAAGAAACCCGCTTATCATCTCCCAAACTTAGCAAAGACATGATTCTTGTCAGTAAATTTTTAGTATTTTTGAAGTTTGTAAAAAAAAAGAAATTTTGTTTTAAATGAATATGCAAAGGAGGAAAGAAAGTCACATGAAGGCTAGCCTATTTCTAAACCTAATTTTATCATGCGTTGTTAGACCTAAGTCAAGGATGAATGAAAGGGAAACATCTATCTAATGTTAGCATGCGTATGGTTTGCGGCAAAGCCCCTACTTCTCATGGTTTCTAGAAAGCGGTAAAGAAACGTGATAAAGTGCGGAAATAAGGGATAAATTGAGGTCGCAATGATACCGAACAGAGAGGGTCCGTTGCCTCTTCAAAGCCACGCTAGTGATAGGAAAACTATACGGAAGTTGCTCCGCATGAATAATCAAAAATTGATCCCCAAATATTCCAATTGCGGAGAGATTTCATCAGTATAATATCACAAAATCCTAGCTAAAAAATGACAATGAAAAGGATCATCAAATATGAAAATAATAGAAAACTCTAATTAAACATCTAAAGAGAATTTCTAATATCAATAAGAATCTCTACTATTTTTGTGTCTCTTTTATCATCAAAGTTATGAGAAGAATATACTGAGGAAAAAAACAATTAAATCCAAAACATGGGGTGTTAAAATCTGGATTAGGTGTGTAGTGTAGCAGGGGTGTTAGGCCCATAAGAAATAGCCCAATAAGCCATTTTTATTGAACCAGCTTCAGTTTCCAAAAAAATGGTGATGGGTCTAGTGAAATTCAGTTTGGTCCATTATGAATTAAACACCCAAACAATTTCTTTTTCAGGATTTTTGTTTCAGATTTTACTTATTAAATAAAAAACCAAAGAAAAGAATGAATTAAATTTAAAAAAAAAAAACGAATAGGATTAGGGTTATAACGCTTTAGCTTCACGAGACCATTTCTTCTCTTCCTCTGAAAACGGCCGCCGTGGTAAGATTCATCAAATTCCGAACCACCATTCGCCACCGCCATTTGACTCGTTACCGTCCCCATCTGATTTTGATCTCATTTCGCTTATACCTTTGCAGCACCGCAGTTCATTCCCTTTTCTCTCCGATTTCCTTCCCACGACGAAACGCCACCGTTCTCACTATTCCACACCACCTCGGCTAATCGTCTCCTTTCTGTCTTTGATCTTGCTTTGAGACAAACTCTCTCTGATACCTCATCACGGCAGGGCTGTCCACCACGAAGTTTTCATCTCCGATTCTCAAACCTCCATATTGAACTCCTCTGTCACACTCTTTCTCATTGATTCGAAACAAAAACAAACTCCAGTAAGAAATGGAAACACGAAATTGTGAGATGCAAATCTTACCGACTGGAGAGCGTCCGGTATTCTTTCAACTCAGAAAATCAGCAATGAAACAAGGTAATCCTCTGAGTTATCACTTCTGCGATTCACTTTTTCCATTTCTTCTTCCATTTTCGTGATTTTGGATCTCTGTGTGCTCAGTGTTATTCAATTGCATTGCAACATCGTGATGTTATATGTGTTGATGAGAGTGCAGATTCGCTATTAGCGATCTATGATTTTGTTGCGATCTTGAGGATTTGTTGTTAATTGAAGACGTTGTAGAGGTTTGTTGCCGAGAGAGACGAAGAATTCGTTATGGCTGTTGCAGAAAAGATCGTGATGGTGATGCTACTTGAAGGTTGAGGAATGATGATGAAGAAGGTTGAAATTGCAGAGAATTTGGTGAGTTTGTTTTTTTCTTTCTTTTTTTCTTCTGTCATCCTTTTTTCTTTGTGAATAAATGATTGTGGATCTGAGACTCCCCTCCCCCTGCAATCTGCTAATCCTGTTATATAGATTTTCTGTCGAGTTTTTTTTTTGTAGAGGTAGTTAGGGGTTTTGGAGTTAGTTAACAGTTAGTTACAGATCGGTTATTGGTTCGTTGGGAGTTCCGTTTAGAGTTTGTTACAGGTTGCTACCAGTTCTGTTAAAAAAGAGGTTAGGAAGGATTGAAGAAATTTGTTAGTTTTTTTTTTCCGCTGGAAGTTTGTTATAGAATGGTTAGAGGTTAGTTATGACAGTTATTAAAAATTAGTTTAGAAAATTTTGTTATGTATTGTTAAAACAGTTGGGATTTTCTGTTGAAGTTTGTTAGAAACAGTTAGAAAACTCTTTTGAAGTTTGTTAACAGTTTGTTAATATGATGTTGGGCTGAGTTGTTAACTGATTTTTGCTTTCTATCTTTCTATGCAGGGCCTAACAGGTGGATGGGTTAGGAGCTTCCTCCTGAATATGAGCTTCTTGTTTTGCTTGGGCAGCTGTAATGAGGTTTTTTGGCCAGACCTGTGAGAGCTTGCTGTGATGATGGTGAACGTTGAGTGCATGAAGATGATGTGGAGAATAATGAAGATGAGAGCATAAGAGAATGTTTCTTGGCGATTCTTCTGCAGAGATTGAAGAAATCCTACCTACCACGATGAGTTTTCGTTTTTTTATAATGCTGTTATGGTTAGGAAGTTTAATTGAAACAGTTAGTTGCAAGTCAAAAATTTGTTAGGAGTTATGGGTTTCTGTTTGGCAGTTGAATGAGTTTCAATTTGATTCACATCAGGCTTTATCTTGGAGTATGCTAAGCAATCTCTATTCAGAAAGATATCATAGTTGTTGATCCGTATGCTGCGAACCAAGCCCGATGAGACAAGACCTTCCATCGCATGGCATGTAGTTTCCAGGGATATGGTTGTATCTATATCCAGGACACCATCTTCACCCAAAGCACTATCAGTAGTACCAACCCCAGTATGCCTTGTGGCAACAGGAAAGTGAACAAGATAGAAATCAAGATAATCTGACTGAAGTTTCTTAAGACTATCTTTACAAGCCTCAACAACATGTTCATGATCAGAGAGTTCCATAATTGGGTGGTAATGAAAAGATCCTCCCTCTTGACAAGTCCAGTATCAAAAACTTCTTTAAATGCTCTCCAACTTCAGTTTCGTTCTTGTAATCAACAGCACAATCAAAATGACGATAACCGGTTTTGATTGAATTGATAATGAGATCTTTGATTTCTTGTCCTTGCATTCGCCTAACGCCAAGTCCGATTATTGGCATCTTGAAGCCATAACATGGAAAATAATGAAGCTAATGTTTAGGCAAGATAGATTTAGTGTAGCTTTGTGTAATTTACAAAATTTTTTTGTAGTTCCTTTGGAATGTAATATGAATTTGTAAATTCAAAATGAATCATTAAGAAACATTTACATGACGCCTAGAAACAATGGTTGAACGAGCATGAATTTTCGAGTGGACATTTGAACGATGAATGTTGAGATGTTGAATTTGAATGATGTAAATGAAGGTTTGAAATGTATTTGGATTGATTTTTTTTTAACGGTATTTGAATGATACTGAAAGTGACAACTTGAACCAAAATAATCAGTTGAATGGAATTATAATGAATGACTATGCCTTGCCATTTGTATCTCATCTTTTGCATTCCAAGAAACCCTTATGATTAAGGTCTCCAAACTCGGTTGAATCAAATTCTCGAAAATAAACCAATGCTTAGACTTCTTTAGTACCATTTGATTATCCTCTAAGCACTTCACTTCATGACTCGGTGAACGAATTCCAACCAACTTGCATATTCAATGAACTAGTCCTGAACTCAAGACATGACATAACATTCAATCGAATCAATAATATTCATGCATGAACTCAGTCCAGACAACAACCTCTCCATATTGCAATTGCCCAAAATCAAAGCCTTTATTCATGTTTGTCTAACTCAATTAGCACTCTCCCGCGTCATATCTTATATTGTGCTTCAACTTTTGTAATTCAAGTCACAAACATGTCTACTTGAAAATGTAAGGCTAAAATCCTTAAGAAATTTCCTTGAAGATGATACTTCCTGTTGCACAATATAAGGCTCTCTGAGAAAGTCCCTTGATAAACAAACCCTAATCTCATGATCTTCGACAAAAAACCCGATTGGACCACAATTACTGAAAACCTGGCTTTAATCGCATATAGGAAAATAAACCATGATAGCCTCGTGTCTTGATGAAGAAAGAAATTCTCAACGACCCAGGTCACAACCCTAATTGATTAACTTATGGATAGATGAACTCAACGCAACAATGACATAGTCAGCAACCTGTAACGCAAGCACCATATGCGTCTTGGATTGATAACAGATCTTGATCCTTTAGAGAAATCTTAATACACCTCTAGTATTGACAAAACCTTGGTCAAATGATAAGCACAATGATAGAATGAGGTGTTTTGAATCAAAGATCATGTACACAAGATCACAACCTTAAGTTATTGACAAGAATACCCTGAAACCTATTGTTCAGTAGAAGATAATAGCCTTGTAGCTTGATGGAGAAGAAATTCAAGCTGAACATTGAAACAAAACCCTAATTCCAAAACCTTGTACACCGAGAAGATCCTGGATAATCAAACTTATTCAACACATACACCCCAAATCAACTGTAAACCCTAGCTCCCTAATTGATGATCTTTTGAACCTCAGGCGGTCTATTTTATGAAAAATGCGTGCTATGCACATGACCTATTGGAATGATGCAGATGAATGCAAAAGTCTAAGCCATCATAAAAGTGTAATTAGGAGGGCGAATTTTGGGGTGCAACAGCTGCCCCTATTTAATCGCCTTAGACCTGAAGGTGAGATTGGCGCCAGCCTTTCGAACCTTCAAGATAAAAGAAGATTAAATACTAAAAGAACCCAAAAATTTGCGCTCCGAAGCCAGTCAGGTATACACTATATTTTGGTTTTCTGTATTTTCTATATTTTTCTTTTTATATTTTTTTTGTTAGGTAAAAGAGGTTATCAGTGTTAGATGTATGTTTAATCAGAGTTTGACACACAGAAGAATAACTTGGTTATCGAGGAACTCTGTTGGGATTTAGTAACAAACACCTGTAAGAAAGATATCAAAAGATATATGCCTGAAGTCTGTAGCAGACATACGAAAAAGGTATCAAAGATACATATCCGGGGTCAGTAGCGGATACGTACACAAGAGATATCAAATATACATATCCGTGGTCGGTATCAGATACGTAAGAAAGAGATAGAAAAGATACATATCTGTGGTCGGTATCGGATACGCACAAAAGAGATAGAAAAGATACATATCTGTGGTCGGTATCGAATCCACACAAAAGAGATAAAAAAGATACATATCCGTGGTCGGTATCAGATACGCACAAAAGAGATAGAAAAGAAACATATCCGTGGTCGGTATCAGATATGTAAGAAAGAGATGTCAAAGGTACATATCCGTGGTCGGTATCAGATACGTACGAAAGATGTCAAAGATACAAGAACACATGTCTGGGGTTGGTAGCAGACATATGAAATAGGTATAAAAATACATATCCGAGGTCGGTATCGGATACGTAAGAAAGAGACATCAAAAATACATATCCGGGGTCGGTATCAGATACGTAAGAAAGAGATATCAAAAAATACACATCTGTGGTCGGTATCAGATACGCACGACAAAGATATCAAAAATACACATCCGTGGTCGGTATCGGATACGTACGAAAGAGACAGACCGAAGAAAGCTCTTACAAAAAAATCAAGAACACATGTCTGGGATTGGTAGCAGACATATGAAACAGGTCTCAAAAATACATATCCGTGGTCGGTATCGGATACATACGAAAGAGATATCAAAGATACATATCTGTGGTCGGTATCAAATACGTACGAAAGAGATATCAAAGATACAAGAACACATGTCTGGGGTTGGTAGCAGACATTTGAAACAGGTATCGAAAATACATATTCGTGGTCGGTATCAGATACGTAAGAAAGAGATATCAAAGATACATATCCGTGGTCGGTATCGGATACATAAGAAAGAGACAGACCGAAGAAAGCTCTTACAAAGATATCAAGAACACATGTCTGGGATTGGTAGCAGACATATGAAACAGGTATCGAAAATACATATCCGTGATCGGTATCGGATATGTAAGAAAGAGACAGATCGGAGAAAGCTCTTACAAATATATCAAGAACACATGTCTGGGATTGGTAGCAGACATATGAAACAGGTATCGAAAATACATATCCGTGGTCGGTGTTGTACCCCAAAATTTGCCCTCGCATTTTACCACAAGAAATCTCAGCTTCAGGCATTTCCTGACTTTTCAAACTGGCTCAAGAATCGGACAAACGGACTTTTCTCGTCAGTCAAACAAAAATTAGGGTTTTATTGATTTTTAGGACTCTGGAATGTTTCACCCAAGTTGGCTTAGGGTTTTGGTTGATTCTGGCTCAATTGTGATCAGGTGAACGTTCTTTGGCATTTAATCAGGAATTAAGGTTTTTGTGGGCATATTCTCAGAAGGATTTAAATTCCACAGCACTTTGCAAGTTATTCCAAGATTCGGGTTGAATTCGCTTTGTTTTGATTTAATCAGTAAAAGAAGGCAGTTGGTTTGAATTCACCAGTCAAAAGAAATACGCAGTTTGGATTTACAATGTTTGTTGAAAATCAGTGAAAAGGGAATGCGCCTGATCAATGTTTTGATTAACTTTTGATTTGCTTTGGAGATACCAGGTTTAATGGATCAATGTGCTAAAGCATTGTTTATTTTAATTATTTATTATTCTAAATTAAATGATTGAAATTTATTTTTCAATTATTTTTATTCAAAGAATTTTGAATAATAAATAAACAATAAAGAGAAAACAGAATTAAATTGGATAATGGAAACTTTTATTTATTCTTAAATTAACTGTACAATTATTGTTTGTAATTTAATTACAAATAATGTTTTTACATTGATTTAAATTTAAACTTAAAGAAAAAAACTATCCTATTTTTTCTCTCTAATTCTTCATGCTTCACTTTGTTCCTCTCCATCCAAATTTTCATCTGCAAAAGGAAAGAGAAAAGTCAAATAACAGTTAAGTTAAACTGAAAAGACAGATAAAATTGCAGTCATCATTAAAGGCCACTGATTGGGATCAGTTAACCCTCTCTACAAATCACGGGATTTCTCCCGGTTCACAAAGAGGGAAGAATGTTATTTGATCATGAATGCAAAGTTGAGAAAAAAATGCAAAGTGCCAAACTACATAAATTCAAAAATTTCAAGCAAACTGCACAGTTCAAACCCAACTGAAAAGAAAATCCAATTTGCAACTTTATGTCAAAATGCAAAGTGTCAAACTTGCTGCCAAATGCCAAAGGGTACAGGTTATTGCACAAAGCTGTCAAAGAAAGGATAAAATATGCAGAGGAAGTCTTTATGCAAGTCAAATTTTATTTCATCACTTCCCAACAAGTAGCCTTTTC